TTCTCTTTCTCTTTCTCTTTCTCTTTCTCTTTCTCTTTCTCTTTCTCTCTCTCTCTCTCTCTGTTTTCTGCTGTTTTAAGGAATTTGTCCAGCCTACCTCAAAAATGGGAGCTAACTTTATAATTTAGGAAAATAAAATCATCAGTTCAGATTATTTCTATGCATATTTTTTGACACAGGTGAACTAACTGGATTAAAAACGTGTGTGTGGCATTATTCATTAGTCAAATTTATTTAGGCCTGTCTAAAAGGTGCACCGATTGCAGTTTTCTGGCCGATCACGATCTTAAGAAGTCTGACAGGGCCAATTCTAACTTGTCTGATACAGATTTTTTTTCTTTTTAAATAACTGACACTAGCTATGCTTACATTGACATAAGTAATCTGACTAAACGGCCATTCGTAATAAAAATGCGTCATATAAACACTCCATTCACATTATTCTGACCCGATACAGCTCGATCCGAATGAATTTGTAATAGGAATGAGAGGGGTGGTTTATGCCGATTGATAATCCGAACGATGTGCATGTTGTAAACACTTAATCCGATCATCTTATTCTGATTGTGGAAAACTGACCTGACTGCTCATGTCTGCTGACTTTCATCCACCTGTTTCTGCTGTTTTGTGGAGGGAGGAGCAGAAGTGCTGTAGTTTCCAGCAGCACAGAACTTTTCCTCCTGTTTTCTCACTCAACAAATAAGGAAGACACACAGCCTGCGCCGCTTCACAAAAAAAAGAATGATTTAAATTTTTTTAAATAGTCTGCGCGTCACCTGCAGCTGAACCAGACAGTGCAGTAACATCTCCATTATTAAAACCTGTCACAGGTCCATTCTGAGCTCAGAAGCTGTTTGTTTATGTTTATGACAAAAGTAGAACTTTTTTCTGTTTTTCTTTTTGTCTTTTTTTAGTGAAAGTTGGCAACTGTGCATGTCAGTGCTTCTATTCTGAATAAAAACCTGGTGCATGTAAACACTCATCATGATCAGATTGTGCCCATGTAAACGATACATTCAGATTATTTAGTCCTAATACATTTCAATCAGATCAAAGAATTTTGCTCATGTAAACATAGCTACTGTCAGGTGTTCTAAGGTCACAATACACATTCAATGTTTTAATCTTATTTGATTGAAAAACGTTGAACAGTACCCTTGAAATAATACGAGCTTATTTTTACTGGACGTTACGTAGAGTAACAGCAGAGCAGAAGGGGACAGTGTCTGATTTTCAGACCTTTTGTGAAGGTAGAAAACCTGATCTTTTTCGGCCGATCGTTGATCTCCGAACATTAAGGAAATCACCTCGAGTGTTTACCTCTTAAAATCTCAGAAATGTGTTTTGTGTCAAAGAAAAGGAACAAGTCAGGAATTTAAACTTAAATTCACCTTTCTATGTGAATGCAGTAGGGCTGCTACGATTAATCGATTAATCGACAACTAATCGATTATTAAAATAATCGATGACTAATTTAATAATCGATTAATCGTTTTCTTTTTTTGTTCGTTTTTTTTTACTCTCCAAACTGCTTTGACACCTTCCACTGCCACATCTGCCTTTCTGTCCTTGACACACAYGCACAGTAGTGGTAACAGGGGTAGGCCGTGGACGTCACAAGTAGGGCTTCACCGATTAGTTGAAATAATCGATGACGTCTGAAGAAATTTATAGTTATTAGAGGTTAGTACTGATGTTAAAAGCACAACACTATATTCTTAGGTTTTCCTTTTTATAATGTTGACAATGTTTAATCTATTATGTTTTGATTGATATAGATTAGTTACATGTTTGAATTATAACAACACATAATCAACCGTTATGAGAACAGTAGGTGAGAATTTTGTCTGAATGCCTGTGATTCAGCCGTAGGTCAGTAGGGGGCGAACGCAGGCATTGAAGAACATGTATAAATTGATGAACTTCCTGGTTTGTCACCAGTGTGGTTTCCTGTCAACTCCGGTGACATTAAACCTCACTCAGATCCAGAATTCTGGTGTTGTATGGTTTGATTCCTTCTACAAATCATTTTATTTAACAATGGTGGTTTTAATATCGACTTCAGTCTATTGAAAACATATTTTCTTACACGTCGATTTATGTAAATTTGTCGACACAGATTTTTTATTATCGATACGCTGTATTACATAACCACCACGTGAATGTTCATGCAATTCCAATTACATAACCACCACGTGAATGTTCATGCAATTCCATTTCGGTACCTAAAAGCATCATTGTGACCGTATTGGAATAAGAGTGGTGAGTTTTCCATGCTTGTGCTGAACGCAGCATCGCGCAAGAGCGTAATGACGTCAGCAGCTGCTGCTTCAGTTCAGTSYGAAGCTTGAAAACAAGCCTCGCAGCTCCTGGAGTAAAATTTACCAAACAGACCTCCTCTGAATTATCTGGTGGATTAATTTCTTGTGAACATGACGTTCACTTGCTCAAAGTAAATAAAGTACCGCCACTTTCTTTATTTCATCCAGCATTAAACAGAGACCGGTGTTAGGTCGAGCCACGTTCCCCCATCAGACGGTTCCCCCATCAGACGGTTCCTCCAGCGTCTCAAACAACAGAGGAGCTTCCCGACACATGTCTGACCTAAAGAGCACAAGCAGCCAACAAGTGCTGGACGTGTTTTGGATGTTCAAAACGTAGCTTAATACCTTTTATTGATTTTAACTGCATCCTCTTTTGTTTATTTGATTTAAACATATTTGCCTTCCATGGACCTTCATCACATAATTTTTCTAACGAGGAAATGACATCAATAGAAACACGTGGAGCTGGATTTTAATTTGTGTAATAAGACAAAACAGTCTTGTTGTTTTCAAGAGTTTTCACTTCAAAGAAAAGTTACACAACTGATGTTACAATACAAAGTTGGATGTTGTCTTGATATTTGTTAATTTTTATATATTGAGAAATATGTTAAATAAAAAATAATAAATGTTTGTTATAGTTTTTCCAGAGTGACTTGAATTTTGCATGATTTAGTTCATTTG